TCTTCGAATTGAGTTTGACTTCAGATACATAACTATTACATGTCCAGAGATCTCAAGTTTTAAAAAAAGGAACAAATTCTAAGTGAGGGACATTCTACCAGGTATGTGACCAGTATTCCTCAAAACTGAGCCACTATCACAGCCAAGAGGGGCCCACGGAGAATGATAAATAAATGCAGTGTGCTATTCTGGATGGAATCCTGGAGGAGAAAAGGACACTCGGTTAAACATTAAGGAATTCTCAACCAAACAGGGACTTTGCTTAACACTGATACATACTGACAATGGATCGATACTGGTTAACTGTGACAAATGTACCCATTTCATGCCCAACTCAGGTGTGAGTTTTTCCCCAGGCCACCAGTGCATGGACACAACAGGGTGTCCTACAACACAACTCACTTCTGACACCTCCTGCAGAGAGCGTCAGACCGTCCAGGTCAAAGGCTCAATCCGACAAGACCGCCCCAGCCCAACCTCAGTCCCCAGTACTGGTGGTCACCTGCGCCTCTGACAGGCCGGCGGTAGACTGGAGGGTCCACTGACTTCCTCTTCAGGTTCAAGTAATTGACTAGAGTGGCTCACAGACCTTGGGGAAACCTTTTACTTTCTAGATCGCTGGTTTATTGTAAAGGGAGAGCCCAATGGGAGAGATGCACAGGGCAAAGTTCGTAGACAGCACAAGGGATTTCCACGTCCTCAATGGGTGTACCACTCTCCCCACATGAATCTCCATGGCAGTCCTGTAGGAATGAGCCCTTAACTTGGAGGATCTGACGCTCTCTCCAGCAGGGGTCAGGAGTGATCTGTGTGGAAGGACACTCAGATGTGTCCAAGAATAGGTGGCCTGGGGAAAAAATGCACATCTGAATTGGGTGCAGAATCCTTTAGATACATTTGTCACCCAGAAGCCCTCAGAACCTGTCCTTCTGGGTTTTTATGGAGATATTTATGGAGTCTTCGTTACACGGGCAATGACTGAATCACTGGCCACTGGTGATCCATTCAATCTCCAGCCCCTCTCCCTCCCCGAGGAGTGAGGAGAACAGAAGACACAAGTTTTAAGTCTCCAATCACAGGGCTGCGTCCCCCTGGTAACCAGGCCCCCTCCTTGGTTGCCTAGGAATACTCCAAAAGTCACCTAATTAATATCACAAAGGATACCTTTATCCATCTGGGAACTTAGGAAATTCCAAGGTTTTAGAAGCTCTGTGCCATATTTCTGATTTTAAAAAATCACAATATCACCATCCCATAGCCAGGGAGTTTACAGAAACATGCAATTTTCCTGTAAATCTAAAACTGATCTAAACAACAGTCTTTTTTAATTTGGGGGGAAAAAGGAGGTGGGAGAGAAAGAGTAAAACTAAGAGTAAAAATCATCTCCTCGAGCAGGCTTCATTCTGGGAGTCTCTTTAAAGAGAAGACACCTAAAGGGATTGTTCCAATTAAGGCAAGAGATCAAACACCAGAAAGCAATAATCAGGAAGGGAGAAAGTAGAACTTTGTCCTCTAGTAAACTGGTGGGGGGGCGGGAGCAGGGGACTGGTGGGGGGTTTTTGTATGAACATCAGTATCTCCTCTGAGTCTTTACTCCGATACACACAGTGTCAAGAGTTTCCTGCATATCCCCTGGGGCCGGTTATTTATTAACTTCCCCAAGCTGAAGGACACTTATCTGTTTACCAACCTCCCCATCCATGCAAATCGGGTCCCCCTCCCTTGGCGCCGGCAGGGGCTCAGCCCCTGACGGTCCCTCCCACGCAGTCGTGTCCATCTATGAAATCAGTAGCTTCTAAGCCCACTGAAAGTGAAAAGTGAGAGTGAAGCTGCTCAGACGTGTCTGACTCCTTGCGACCCCATGGACTGTAGCCCACTGAATTTTCCAGGCAAGAGTACTGGAGTGGGTTGCCATTTCTTCTCCAGGGGATCTTCCTGACCCAGGCATCAAACCCGGGTCTCCCGCATTGCAGGAATAGGCCTTACCTCTGAGCCACCAGGGAAGCCCTAAGCCCACTGCTACCTGCTTAATAAATGTCTGGTGAATACAAATGCTTGGTGAATGAATGCAGGTTGGGCTCATGTACAGACTTCAGCTAAAGTGGTGGTGCAGACCCAGACAGGGTGAAGGAAGAAAGTCCCTGCGTCCTCTGTGGTAAGACAGGGACCACGTGGGCATGTGCTGGGAGGTGAAGACGGGACCCCAAATACTGATTCACAGACCTGTAACACTGAAAAAGCTCACATATTTACTCCAGCGGCCTCATTCTACAGAAAGAAGACTCTTAAAGAGAGTAGGTGGCTTGTTCAAGGCCACATGTGGTGTTCCACGAAGCAAAAGGAGACATAGACCCTAGTGCTAACTAGCCCATCTCCACAGCTTACTAAGCATGAGCAAGACTGAGTTATTTACTAACCAGCCACAAGAGCTACTATCCCGAGTGTCTGCCAAGCCTACTCTAAAACTTCCCGCTTTATCCCCACTCCAGGATTCCTGGACTTCTCAGCTGCTAAAGAATCTGCCTGCTTTGCAGGAGACCTGGGTTCAGTCCCTGGGTTGGGAAGATCCCCTGGAGAAGGCAACGGCTACCCCTCTAGTATTCTGGCTTAGAGAATTACATGGACTGTATAGTCCAAGGGGTCGCAAAGAGTCAGACACGACTGAGTGACTTTCACTGGCAGATGAGAGCTGGAGGGTTGAGTGATAAAGATCGGACACTCAGGCTAGAGTTGGGCTTTGGTGTGGGATAATCCCAAGGGGCTTGGAGTAGGTCAGTTTGAGGAGATTTTGAGATTTGTTAGCTCTGGTGTTAAGTTCCTTTTCTCTGATCTCAGTTTTCCCAAGCAGATTCTTTACCAGATAAGCCACCAGGGAAGCCCAAGATACTGGAGTGGGGAGCCTATCCCTTCTCCAGCGGATCTCCCCGACCCAGGAATCAAACCGGGGTCTCCTGCAGGTGGATTCCTTACCAGCTGAGCTGCCAGGGAATTTCATTCACCAGGCACTGTTCTAAAAATCTTTCATGATGGACCCACTCATTCCTCATCACAACCCTCTGATGATGGTACAACCAGCATCCATCCCCATTTTACAGCTAAGGAAACCGGAACTTTGTGATGTCCCAAGAGTCACAATCTACAGCAGCAAACCTTGTCTGTAAAATTGGAATGGCAAAAATTTTGCCTGTAGTGTCATATAAAACACACAATTGCCATTCAACCAATGGCACTTAGAGAAATGAAAACATGTGTTCACACAAAAACCTGTACACAAAGGTTTACAGGAGCTTTATTTATCTGTCATGGTCAAAAACTAGGAGCAACCTTGTAGTGAACTGTTCTGTATCTTGACCCATGCTGAATACATGAACCTGCACAGGATAAAACTGTGTAGAACTAAATACACATTCATAAGTTCGAGTAAAACTAGGAGATTCTGAATAAGATCTGTGGGTTCTATCAGTGTCGATATACTGGTTGTGATGCTGTGCAGTTGTTTTGCAAAATGTTGCCAGTGGGAGAAACAGGTTACAGATTATGCTAGATCTCCCTGTATTAATTCTTACAACTGTACAGGATACAATTATCCCAACTGAAAATTTCAATTAAAAAGTCTTGCCTACCCATCAGGCTTGATGATCTCTTATATTCCTTTCACTTAAGATCTGCAATTCTCAATGTCTCAAAAGTCAGTCTTCTTTCCACCCACACCACCACAAAAATCAATGCAAAATTACACTCGGAGCAAAGGAAAACTAAGACAACAAACCCTATTTCATAGAATTTTGCACTGCTGGTCACTTTTGAGTTCCCTCAGAAAATTATTCCAATTGGTGAAAATAAGCCTCTTGTGTTCTTTCATGACTTCTGGACAAAAGATGGAAAATGTGATTCTACAAAATGTTCTCCCCACTGAATATTTTCTCCCTCTCTCTCTCTGCCATCTCCACCAGCACACACCCCCCCCCCTCGCAACACACACACAAAATATGAGTACAAAAAATTCTATTCTAAATCCTCCCTGAAAAAGCAGCACGCATGGATTATCACTGGCCCTTTACACCAGTTCCCAAATGATGAGCTGCTACTGCAAGGCAGTGCAGGAAACAGGAGAATGGGTGTGGGGCTGAGATAGACTCGAGGTGAAGATCACACCTGGGCCAGGTTTCTTAAACTTGAGTCCGGCCTCTCTCATCTATAGGATGAGGATGTGACACCTCCTTCCTAGGTATGGGGAAGAATTCCGGGACACAATTTATGTGTCTGATATTAGTATTTACTGGGTCCTCTTTCTATCCTCCCTATTTCCCTTACCAACAATCAAATCAAGCTCATTTTCTGGCCACAAAGAGGTCACGCCCTGGAATCCCCTCCTCGCTGAGGTTAGTAGATAACTCGGAACACTCCCAACCTGGACCCCTCTTATTACAAGTACAGCAAATCTTACCCTATCCTCTAAAACAAAGGAGGAAGATAAATCAGCCTCCGGACACTGGGCACCTGCCCAGCAGTCGGAAAACAGGGTAACCCGCCGCCTGCCGGACTCCGGCGGTTACTATTATTGCTGTTTATTAATAACAATACCTAACGATGCGTGGCGGTGACCGTCTCCCAGAAGATGGAACCCCGTGGAACCCCCACCCCCCACCCCAGCCAGGAGCGTTCAAAGAGCTTTTGATGTGGATTTTCGGCTAGAAAATCCCAGGAATTTATAAAGAGGCTTTCCCGACAGGAGAAAGGCAAGAGTTGTAAAGTTTCTCTGCAGGAGCATTTTTCCGCGTTTCTCGGAATCGCACTGCAGAGGCGTTGTAGCCCGCGGTTGGGGTTGGGGACGACCGAGGGTGAGGATGGGGAGGGAGGTCTGGCGGTCAGCGGCGGACCTCGCGGGTCCGAGGGTGCCGGCTTCCCGGATGGCCGCGTGGGACGGGACCTGGAGCCCCAGCCCGGCGGAGAGGGGCCCCACACGTCCAGAGGGCTCGGGGGCCGCAAGCCCCACTCACCTTCCGTGCTCCTCTTCGCCTCCCGGTAGCGCTCCCATAGGTAGCGCTTCATGTCCGGGGCGGTCCCAGGTGCTGTGCACAAGGGCCGTGCGGGGCCCGCGCGCGACCGCCCCCGGGTCGCAGTCCGGCAGCCATCCCGCAGGGCCGTCACTGCCTTTGCACCGGCTCCACGAGCCGCCGCTGCTACCGCCGCCGTGGCCATGCCTGCCGCCGCCCGGCCGCGAGTGGCGCCCCAGGGCCGGTGCTCGGCAGGCGCTCTGCCCGGCAGGCGGGCGGGTCCCTGCGTCTGAGCACGTGGCGGCGCGGCCCGCCCTTCGGCCGCCGCGGGGGCGGGGCCTGAGGTGGGGCGGAGTCCTGAAGGGGCGGGTCTGAGCCCTGGAGGGCCGGGCCGGGGCGGAGTTCTGGAGAGGCGGGGCGGGGCCTGGATGGGGCGTTCCGGGGCGGGACCTAATCCGCCGGGCACGGCAGCAGCTTCCATACAGCCGAGACCACGCGCGAAACATGCTACAGTCACTTCTTGATCGTGTGACGCGCAGAGGTGGCTGTGCGGTGGCATGAACGTCCCATCAGCCGAGGTCACATGAAATGGTGTGACTCTGCTGGCCCTGGACCACGAGTCGGGATCTCGGCGCCTCATGCCGACCCCGCAGCACCTTCCTCCCCCGCTCTGTGACCGTCCCCCGACCCTGGCTGTACGGACAGCGCGCCTCTGGCCCTGACTCCAGGAGGCGACCTCTCTGCATTAATGACCTCCACGGCCTGGACCTCCGCTGGATCGCGGGGACGGGTCTGGGAGGTCCCGCGTCCCTGGCTTGGATCCTTCCGGTCCCACCGAGAAGCCAGCATCTGGGTACAGGTCCCACGCGTAGGCCGATGTGCCTGAACGGCACCCCCCCCCCTCCACTGCATAGCCTGGCAGGCCAGTGCCCCCCGCCAAGATTTCTGGCTCGCGAGGGAAGCCCTCGGGACACTAGTCCCCCTGCTCCAGCCCACGCTCACACGACGCGGTGGACAAGGCTGCACCTGTTATGTGCGTTACGGTTCCACCAAAGCCAAATAAACAGTAAACCTCACGACACGTTTCAGTGCCGACTGAATCAGACTTGGCCCCTGCGGGAAAGTCTGATGCAGCCCACCCAGAAGCCGCCTGAGAATCCCTGAACTGCCACCCGGGGCTTCAGTGAAGCGCAAAGCAACCCGCAAGGCTGGCTCTTTGCCTTGGAGACCACACTACCACCTGTGACATAGGTGGGGCACGATTTAAGACAAATAAGCAAAGCATTCCTGTATGCTTAATTCGTGGGCTGAGGGGGTCAGATGTTTTCATGGAAAAAGGTGGGCTCTGGGTTAGATCGTGACAGACAGTAATTACTATTCACTGAAGGCTTGCAATGTGCATTTTCTCATGCAGTCCTCGCAGAAATCCTAAAAAGTTGGCACCATAATTTCTCCCATCTTCTAAGTGATGAAACTGAGGTTAAGTGCAATAGTGCTGTTAAAGTCACACATCTGAGCCCATTCTTTCACCTGGATTCCTAATGTAATAGGTAGGATTTCGCTGGGTGATAAGCAAGAAGTCAATAATTCATCCTCAGCAGTTAACAGGTTAATATCTTACAAATCACTGATAAAATGAGGGGCAATTAAAATGTTTAAGACAGATATGATATCAAATCTGTGGACTCTAGTACTTTAAACTTACTTTATGGTTTTGGTTTATTCCAATTTATGTCTTATGTTACTTTAAAGAGATGCGGTGACAGCAATTGTAAATCTTGTGTACATGAGACATTAATTCATAAATTCATAGACAAATGATAGTAAAAGTAACACAATTAGAACTTTAGTAACATTATCTCCATATATTTTTAGATATGGAACCCTGTGAAATGAACAGTTTTCTACTTACCACAGAAATATGAATGACTTAAAAAGTATTCTTTTTAGCTACAGTCAGTTACAATATTTCAAGGGGCTAAAAAATAAAAATAAAACCCCCAGACCTTGATTATCACCAGAAAATATCTCACCAAAGAATTCTAAATAATGACAATTTGAAAAAAGTTACACAGAAGAGCCCATGAAAATCTTTATTCTTTATTAGTATCATTTGAAGTCTTCCATCAACTTTGTTTCAAACTGAGATCTTCTCTGCAAAAAACACTTGTGAGAAACTGGACTGTAATCTGGGCTATGAAAAAGCCACTTCTCTGAGATGAGCTCAGATACAGATTTCCAGGGATTATTTGGGCTAAGAGACTCTACCAGGGGATGCTGGCAATTTGCATTAATTAGGCCTTTTTCACTCTCACTTTTAGCTGACAAAATCCGTTGCCGTGAAAGCTTTACTACACCATCCATTTTACCCAAAGGTAAAGTTTTAGAGGAATAATCTTTCTTTTTCTTCACTGCTTCTTTTTCTGGGCCATTCCATATTTCAACATTACTCTGTGTCTTCCATCGAGTCTTTTCCACAGCTGAAATGGAAACAATGGGTCTCAAGAGCTTTTTCCCTTGTCCTGAAGCATGTTTTGATTTATCTGAAATTGTTTGAGCCACCAAGTCCAAGCTTTTAGCCCCCTGTAGCTTATCTGCTTTGGTGCACATTGCTGAGCTCACTGTGTCTGATCTCTGAGCGCTGTGATAGTTTAATTTAAGCAAGTGATCCAAAAATGAGGCACCATGCCTAGGACCTTCGGAAGACTGCTGGCTCATACCTTGAGGCCAACATCTCCTACCCCGAGTCCGCTCAATTTCCCTCAGAAGGCTGCAAAGGAATGAAAGTTGTCAAGAGGTCATTTACAAGACAAGAAAAACCTGAAGTACACTTCTTGTTGAGACACAGAACAGAAACTCACTGTAGGATTCCGGGGATTGATGAATGAGAATATCCGAGGTAGGTGGCCCTTAAATCAAGTGATTTGTACAGATAGCCCACGGCCTCCATCATGACTTGATGACAGGAGTCACTTATCAATAACTGACCTGCTGGATATTTGAAAATAAGAATGTTAGAATTTTTTTAAATGACTCCTGGCTTCAGACACTTAAAAGAGAATAAAAAATATTCTAAAAAGTGGCATTGGAACATCACCTATTGTGGTATTTTTGCCAAAAACATTTAACCTGAGTCTAACTATCAGAAAACAATCAGGTACACGTTCAAGACATTGGGACAGGGAGGGGAGGGTAGAAACTGACCTAGGCTCTTCAAAGATATCAATGTCAGTGAAAGGCAAAACAAGTCCTACTAAAATGTTCTTGACTAAAGGAGGCAACCAAATGCAATGGAAGATCCTCAACAGAATTCTGGATCAAAAAGTAAACAGCTATAAAGAACATTTAATGGGACACTCTGGAACATTTGCATATGAATTGTACATAAGATAATAGTCTTGTGTAATGGTTAAATTTCCTGTGTTTGATAATCCCCAGTGGTTCAGCGGGTGAAGAATCTGCCTGCAATACAGGAGACGTAGGAGATGCAGGTTCGACCCCTGGGTCAGGAAGATCCCCTGGAGAAGGAAATGGCACCCCACACCAGTATCCTTGCCTTAAAAATCCTATGGACAGAGGAGTCTGGTGAACTACAGTCCAAAGGGTCTTGGAAGAGTAGGACAGGACTGAGCCACTAAGCAAGAAAGAAGTTCCCCGGTGGCTCAGACGGTAAAGGATCCACCTGCATGCGGGAGACCTGGGTTTGATCCCTGGGCTGGGAAGATCCCCTGGAAAGGGGAACGGCAACCCACTGCAGTATTCTGGCCTGGAGAATTCCATGGACAGAGGAGCCTGGCGGGCTACAGTCCATGGGATCACAAAGAGACACGACTGAGTGACTTTCACTTGTGTAGGGGAATGTCCTATTCTCGAAAACACATGCTGAAGTATTTAGAAATAAAAATGTCACATCTGCAACTAACTTTCAAATAGTCCAGAAAATACATATATATTTGTGCGTGTGTGAAAGGAAGAATACAAATGTGACCAGAATGTTAACAATTAGTGATCACAGATGAAGGGTATGTAGGTGTTCATTATCCAGTGCCCTGTGCCATTGTCAATAATTAATATAATTCTCTAAAATATGTGAAAAGTAAAAAAAAAAAGTCAATTTGCAAGTGGCACTCATTTGTTCATTTTACCCATTTCAAGGGTGCTTTAAGGGGCTAAATTGATATTATTGACTACAAACATAATGGAAGGCCAGTGCCTACAGGGCACCAATCTGGATACTTGATAAGAGACTGACAGTGAAAGTGTTAGTCGCTTAGTCACGTCTGACTCTTTGAGGCCCCATGGACTGTAGCCCACCAGGCTCTTCTATCCAAACAATTCTCCAAGCAAGAATACTGGAATGGATAGCCATTCCCTTCTCCAGGGGATCTCCCTGACCCAGAGGTCAAACCCGGGTCTCCTGCGTTGCAGGCAGATTCCTCACTGTCTGAGTCACCAGAGAAGCCCAATACGAGACTGCTGAGTATTTAAGGGTAAAAACTACTGACAGGTGGCCTAGCCAGCATCCCTGTACTAATAGTAATAACCATAAACACTGCAATTTATGTAATTACCATCTATCCGGTGTGTGTAATCCTATAAGGTACAAACTATCATCACTTGTCTTTTTTGTCGTTATTAATATTTACTCTCTTTAACAGGCCACACGTCCACAGGATTCAAAGATGAAAATATATAAAGATGTGAAGTAAAAAGCATCTCTCCCATCTTGGTCCCCATCTGTGCAGTCTTCTCCAAAAACAGGTGTTCTTTCAAAGAATATTTTGTGCATGTCACTAAAGATGAGAAAACTGAAAGAGGTCTAGTCATTCACTCCAGTTTGTGGTCAAACAATCTTGGGGCAGCCTCATCCACGCCCATGCCCCTGACTCTATGCGAGGCCCTCTCTTCCCTGCTTCTGGACTGATCTTCTGCATATCTGCACTGTGACTCTGTCTGCAGAGAGGTTCTCTCTGTAGCTCTGCTGCAGGGGTCATAGCACAGATCTCACAGTGCTTCTGCTGCTAATGGGGAGTTTCAGCTGTTGGCTCCATTTAGCAATCAGTGGCTATTTTTCTTCTTTGGGAATTATTTTCATGACCCCCTATGAGGTTCTCAGTTGCCCCAACAAAGCTCAGCACAAAGCACTTGCAAATTACCCTGCTCAGGATTACCATGTTGTATTGGCCATGCGCGCATGAGTGCTAG